AGCTGCGCAGAAGCACAGAATGATCCATTCTAAATATCTGGCCCACAAACATAATTTAAGTTTTACCTCTAGGATTTATGATAAGGGTATTGATTTCATTCCTGCTTCCTTGTTTATACGTAAGAAATTATCTTTTAAAAAAAATTATTATTAGAACCCTTGAGTTCTCCATTGTTGCTTGGACAGTTCAGAGCAACAAAGCTGTCCCTAGAAGAGGTTAAACAGCAAGAGTTTCTGCTCTTGGCCATCTTAAAACTAAGATGATGAAGAGAGAGCCCATCCCCTTGGAGGATTTTGTTTCCAAGATCTACTCCCAAGGGATTGTACAAGAAGCGTTACAAACAGTTACAGAGGAGAACCAAGTTTAAAGGAATTAATCCTAGATCCCCATGGCACTTGCGTTCTTTGCATATTATCCTTTGCTCTTTAAAAGGACAAAAATCCTACAAACCCCAGAAGATACAGTCTTTCCCTCAAAGCAGCCTTTCAGGTTCATAAAGCTTTTCCAAAACATATAGACTTTGCTGATTGTGGTTTTTTTTCAAGTCATCCTAAAATGGTCTCCAAACTTCAAGTGGCAGAAGACTATGTACATATATACTTCAATATTTAAAAAGTATCTACAGTTGAAGAAATAGCTGTGATTATTTTTGAAAAAAAAAATATTTTCTGACCAACTTTTTTTTTCAGCTTGTGAAGTCTGTAACATCTAAAGCAGAACAGGGAACACTGTGACTTACCACAGCTTGTTTTATATGTTAAAAATGTCATCAACTGTTGCATACAATCATCTCTTCAAAATAAAGCTCTGAAATACACAAAGGTACAAGTCCTACCATAGCCAGACTAAGCTGCTCTTTACACAAGGTTCTCCTGGGGTAAATTCCCATCCTAGAAGCAGCTTACCCTCACGACACTATTCACTAAGTGATCATTATTCTAATTTTACTCTTGAGAAGACGCAGGCAAGGAAGACAAAGCATTTGTCTAAAGTAGTCTAGAGTAATTGAGGTGCATTTCGCTGACCTGTGTAAACTCAGGGCATTGCTTTAATATGTGGAATAAACACTTTCCACCCTAGGAGAAAATTTTTTTCAAGTTCATGCTTTCCTGAGCAGAGCACATCTATCTATACCTTAACATAGTGGTACATTTGCTAGAAAGAAACATAGCTTTTTTTTTTTTTCTTTTTTCCCTCCACCATTACAAAGTACAGTCAGACACAAGAAAAATTCTGCCTGCAGGACTTCCAACAATAAGAGATTCCAGCAGCAACTGCACAGAACCTACAGGAAATAACTGGGTCAGCCTGTTTACAAAATAACTTGTGATTATCAATGCAGTACTCATCAACTACAAGTATATTGTACCAGAATATCATTAAAGACAGATATCATTAAAACACTGTAAAATAAGGAAGCAGTAGCAATTAAGGATTGGGAAGAGGTTCAGGTTTTGATTCCATCAGTGCCTTGAAGATCAGCTAACCAGGTTTATTCTGATCAAGAATTAAAACACCCACCCATCTAAACACCTGCTGAGGGCAGTCAGCTCACACCCTCAAGGAAAATGTGAATTTTGTAACAAAACACAGCAGGGTTTGAATAGTGAAATGAATCCCACTGATGGGGAAGCCCAAAATAAAAATCTAATTGAACTGGATTATTTTATATAAGATGGGTACAACACTATACAGACAGCTGCAAAAATCATGTGTTCCCATCCTTATCCCTCAGAATATGGTTGAACCTCTTCTTCCTCTCCTAAAAGGACATACTGCATTAATACCCAGCATGATGTTTCAGGACTGACTTCCGATTCCTCTAGACACTGATGGCAATGGCTATTCCAAAATGACAGAACATGGGGTAGGATGGAGGTAGGAAAGTGCCTACTTCTATCCCAGCTATGGAGTGGCGAAAGCTGGAGCAAAATAGTTATGCAAACACTCCCAGCAAGCAATGGATTATCCTAATACCAGGATAAACTCCAAAAATGGCTGAATTATCATTACTTTATGGGGAAGACTCTGGGAAGAGGAAATCGCCATTTTTGAGAAGATCTAGTTCTAGCAAATGAGTACTACAGAAGATCATGAAAAAATAGGTAGAGGAAACTTTCTTGTACTTATACTGCTCTTTTTAAAAGTTACATAAAAGCGAAGTAGATGAAGCAAAAAATTAAACGCGACAGAGAAGAAAAAAATTAAAGTCAACAATTCAGTCCATTTGTTTCACATCTGCTTACTTCACAGACACTTCCATCAGCTTCTCTCCCTTTTTGGATATACAGCTCTAAGTATCTTTTCCAAGCATGTTCCCAGGGGGATGCTTTGATTCTAGAGCGGGTTTGCTCCTCTCTGTTTTTAGACAAAGGGGATCCTTATAGCTGACTAGCCAAACCAGCCTTTCACTTCCCTGTTCATGACAGAACCTTCTCAAGATCCATAAATAGCTAGGCGGCTTGGAGTAGACAATGAAGAACAGATCCAAACCTAATTATTTAATATTACACCACTGAGTCCATATCTGTGTCTATCAAGGTGGCACACTAAGATACAGAACCCCTGTAGCATTCACTGCCCTCAGTGGGTTCCGTAGATGCTCAGTCCTTAAGTAGGCTAAATGTGGATTCAGAAGGATAACCATAGCCAATCATGCTGTATAAGTCTTTATATATCATTATATGTACACTAATAACCAGGTCTCCCCACACACACAAAGTTTAAGGCCATGCATACTTACAGTACTGGAGCAGGACCATAATTCACTTTTTGATGCATGCACACTTTCTCTCTGACATTCTTATACTGTCAAAGCTTTGTTTCACAAAACTAAAAAAGACACTGTTAATTTTTCATCTTAAATTTCAGGAAAAACATTTATATTGATGCAAGTCCAGAAGAAGATGAAGATGATGAGAGGGCTGGAGTATCTCTCCTATGAGGACACGCTGAGAGGGTTGGGGTTGTTCAGTCTGGAGAAGAGAAGGCTCCGGGGAGAACTTATAGCAGCCTTCTAGTACCCAAAGGGGGCCTACAGGAAAGATGGGGAAGGGACTCTTTATCAGGGCATGTAACAATAGCATGAAGGATACTGGTTTTAAACTGGATGAGGGGACATTTAGATTAGATATTAGGAAGACACTCTTTACTGTGAGGGTGGTGAGACACTGGAACAGGTTGCCCAGGGAAGCTGTGGATGCCCCTTCTCTCTAAGTGTTCAAGGCCAGGCTGGATGGGGCTTTGAGCAACCTGGTCTTGTGGGAGGTGTCTCTGCCCATGGCAGGGGGATTAGAACTAGATAATCTTTAAGGTCCCTGCCAACCCTAACCATTCTGTCATCTTTGGTTTAACTTTAGAAGACATCAAGCTCTTGCCAACAAAGCTGTTGTAAGTACAATCACCAGCTGTCCAAAGCTGCTGCAACAGTTCTGCTGAAGAGGTTCAGAACTGGTCTTTCTCTCCACCAAAGCAAGCAACTGAGCAACTTCACCCCTCACAGCCAGAAACACTGCCTCAAGCAGCATCAACCTTCCTACTCATGCAATTCCCTCTCCTACCTAGTAAATGGCTCCATACCACTCTTCTTCCCAGAGAAGAATTCAAGGGCACCAGACCACTTCCTCTGGCAACACACACACATCCCAGGAACCACGTACTCCTCAGAGGGCCCATCACAGGCTCTGTATACTTCAGTACCAGACAGGTCACAATCCATATACAACACATAGAACACTGAAATACCATAGGCATATTAGAGTTCAGCAAATGTTATAAGTTACTAAAAGGATTTTAAGTTAGAGAGAAACTTACCACTAGAGTAGAGAGCAGATACATATTTTACTAACTTCTATAGCATTTTGTTGACTATGGCAAAAACTCAGGCACTCCTCCCGCAACACTGCAGATCTTGTGAAGTCATCTTCTCAGAGCTTAGAAAACCAGGCAACGCTCAGTTGCCTTCAGAGCTTAGAAAACCAGGCAACGCTCAGTAAGGATACTGCACAAGAACTACATAGCTCACCAGGAACGCCTTTCATACAGCCAGCACCTCCTCAATCAATAACCTTGGGGAAGTACAGTTGTTGAGCTGTTACAAATTTATATACACCTATTGATTTCAGTGATCACACAGATCCCTTCAGACACATTTCACACTTAAATTTGAACAAGCTGCTTGTAGAAGTGTCAGTAGGTTACTACTGCTCCCTACTTCAGAATGCCTCTGTACACAAAAATCAAGCGCACCCCAAGCTAAGTGTGCAAATACTTCCTGCTCCAGTCACTCTATGTTTTTAATAGCCCTCCTTTGCTACCTCAGGGATGTTCCTCTAAGCTTAAAATCATCTGGAAATTAAGAGATGCCATTTCAGGGCACAGACAGGCAAGATGCACACATGGCCAGGCAAAGGAACACAGCTGCATTTCTGTACTTTGTTACCTGACAGGCAAGAATCATTAATATTAACAATGATGAAGGAACCTAGTGATAAAACCACACACTGAATACCAGTAAAACTGTTCATCACCTTATGAAGTACTTCATATGTGTCCTCCAGGCAATCAAAACAAATTCAAAACCCTTTTATTACAGTTAACTTGAGTATTGTGTTGTAATTAGTAGGGGGCTCTCAAACGGGAAAAGAGTTTGAGCTTTCATGTTTTAGTCTCTTCTATTGCAGTATCTAAATATTCCAGGTACAATAATGGTGCTGTGGCCAGGCAATGGGCCATGAAGTATTGTTCAGTGCAAAATGCAGAACAATAGATTCTAACAGCATCTTAAAGAAATTACCACTAAAGCTACCTTAAGTCAAACTCATTATAACAGGCAGGATATGCAGCAATAGAAGCAGGAAACCTAACTTTTTTCTGGCCACATGCAAAACAGCATTGATCTTAATCCAACCACGTAAAACAGATAATGAAAACCAAAGAACTTTCCAGGTCCAGAAAAACTGAAACAGCTATAGGAGTTTCCAAGAAAAACACTGAGCACTTGGTTTTTTACTGTTGTTTTTACTCCGTGGGTAAGAGAGGGCTCTGACAAACTAATGTGGTACAATATACAGTAATCAAAAAAACAAAAAAACCACAAAGACCCAAGTGCACTCCCAAGGTGGACTCCAGTATTTCACAGGGTGTTTCTTGTGCCCCACACACAGCTCACATGCCAAGCCCTCTCCATTTTGGAGCAGAAAGTCTGTGTTACAGCTGTTCTCCAGCGTTTCCAGAGTAGTTTGTTATATTGTCCAAGCAGCACTATTTCTTCTTGAGAGCTCTCTTCCCTTCCCCCTTCTTTGGTTTTTCCTTCCCACGGAGCTTTTTCAATCGCCTCATCTCCTCCTTAAAGTCCTGATGCTCATCCCTAGATGGAGGAAGAAATAAAAAAAAAGTTTATTCTAGTTCTTGGAATACCCAGATGTAAAAGGTTCTTTGAACTGCAGGATAATAAAAAAAACCCCTCAAAACTTCTTTTAATAGTGCAGTCCACAATGAAACTCACTGCAATGTACTCAGTGTTACCACTAGCAGTAATTTTGGACTGAACATGAAAGATTCCCTCTGGTAATTTCAGAACTAACAAGGTTGCCCTTTTCAGCAACAAATGGTGTGCACGTATATATTATTTCCATTGCATTTATTGATCCACTGTGTTTAAATGAGCAGTAAAATATAAAAATCAGCAAGAGACAAGAATGAGCATTTCCCCCTTCTCATCTAGCTCAGCAGTCTAGCAATAGCACATTGTGTTTCTGTGCTAGACACTAAGTTCAGGTCATTAGCTTCCAAGAAAACAGGGGCATGCTGAGCAGTAATTACAGTACATGACACTGCTCTCAGGTGACTTCAAGAATGAGTTATGAAGAAAGCCATCAGCTACTGGTAGAATGTTAATAGGAGAATAAAACAGGAAGGAGGATAAAGGCTGGCAGAGATAATGAATCCTCAATAATGTTCTAATAAATTCTCTTTAATCTCTGTCCCTGTATTTCAGTGCAAAGGTATTTTTCACAAGTCACAACTGCATCCTAAGTGGCCTAAGATCACTGCACTGCTATTTTTAAATACAACTTTTCTAAAAAAGAAACAAAAAGCTTGCAAGTTATTATCAGACCCTTTAACTTTACAATTCTTAATTACCTATTTCTGACCAGCAAACCTGATCCTCTACAAGCCCCCTGTATACAGAGCAGCTAGAGAAGAAACTTGAGATTAGGAGGGGAAGGACAAGAGCAAAGAACATTATTGTGTTGTTGAGGCTTTGTGTCAAACAGCTATTCTAGAAAGTGTTTGCATGCCCACCTAAAGCATGAACACCCTGGATGCAACCCTTGATGGCTGGTATTGTGATACAGCAATAGAAATTAATCTGGTTTGTCTTCACAGGGTTAGCAGCCTCACATTTAAGGGATTTCTTTAGTGCTACGTGACTGAAATCAAAGGATTGCATTTGACTCCTGATGTTCTTTAGCAGCATAGTTTTTCCTACTTGAGACTATGGAAATTAATTTAGAAATGAGACAACTTGTTTGGATGAAGCTGGAATTAACAAGGCTATTTATACCACATTTGAATTTAATTTATCTTAACTTATTTTCAAGGATAAAATCCCCTTCAGACCTTCCTTCTCTTCTAAATTTCACTTATTAGCTGTTGAATGATTGAGGAATATATGCTAAGACTGCCTCAGCGCAATTTTTGTCTTAGGGTAAGATCATCATTTGCCATGTTCAGAACTACAGACTCATCTCTTGTCTATGAAAAAGCTCTCATCCCTTCCCCACAAAGCCAAAGCAAGAACTATTTCTTAAATAACTGGTTGTCCATAACTATATCTAAAGTTTTTTTCTCAAAAGGTATGGTGAAAGACAATAGTCACTTATTTTACTCTCTTTGCCATCAGTGCAACAATCGAGTGCATTATTTCCATGTACACCATATTCTGAACTAAACCTTTTTCTACATTCCTTTTTCCCTTGGGGGGAAAAAAAAAAGCATAACAAAACTCAGACCCACCCCTTTCCCATCCCCAGTCCTGCTCCCACCCAATAAGTGCAGCGATTACCTGTAGAGACCAAAGTAACGGAGTTTCTTCATGAGGCCATGGTAGGTGTTGTGAGGAGGATACCAGTTGTAGACCTCCTTCCGCTTGGCGATAGGCTGCTCGCTGAATAACTTCACTACTTTCATAGATTTTGAGTCAGTTGGCCTGACAACTTCTCCAAATATCTGAGCACTCAGCCGGGCCATTCGAAGAGCGTAATTTGAAACATTGGACATCTCCCAAGGAAGAATGGGCACACATAGACAGATGGACTTTCCTGCAAAAGGAAACACAAAAGGCCGTAACTCTAAGATGATCAAGTACTGCAAGCTATCCCAGAATCTAGGCAAAAAGCACAACTCATCATAGACTGATCATACATTTTAAGTCATGCCAGGAATGCATATTCCTGGCATGAAATCAGTCTAATTCACAATACATAATCCTGCATAGAAAGAATGCCTACGCTAATTCAGGTAGAATCACCAGCCTAACCAGGACACTAAAGAGGGCAATACATACTGTAAAAGTACCTGCACTCAACTACAATTTACTATGGCTAGTTTATTAGCAGATCCCACTCAGCTCACTTAAGGCCTTTAACCTCCAGTCACAGGAACAATTACAGAATGAACTCTGCCAAAAATGGTGTCCGCTGCTATGCCTCTGACTTCTACACAAGCACAAGATAAGACACCACTTAAACACATTGAGGAAGCAATCTAAGTTTTTCCTCATGAAAATTTCTCATCCTATTTAAAACCATTGCATGAACATCATCACTGTTCATCTAGCAAAATGGCCTGTTAGCTGTAAAAATAAATTAAATACATCATGTTTCTCTATATGAAGCACACAGGTCTTTCTCATCTCAGGTCTCTTCCCTTGATCCTTTCCATGAGCTTTTTTCTCCATTTTCTTTTCAGTTTTTTTTTTTTTTTTTTTTTTGAGAGGAAAGAAATAATTTCCCCATGCTAGATTCTTTTTTCCAAGAAAACCTCAGATCAGCAGCTTTCCATTCTCTTTCAGCCATCTCCCACCTAATGACACTTCTGCAACAAAAATGCTGAGAATAAAACCATTGTTATGACATCCACCCTCTCTTAAAGGAGTGTGGACAAGGGTTTTCTCACAGCTTTACTACCCCTCCCCAATTTTTCCTCTTCTTTGCATCTTACTTTACTCTTTATTTGCAGAATGGGATGTAAGACAAGAGTAAGAGTCCCATAATCCTGTATTTGAACCTGTACATTGCTTGTACTGTGCCTTTTTGAATAAGTAATGATGTTAAGTCTACAGAGACTCCAAGTTCAAGTGCACTACACTTATGTTAAAGTTTAAAATTCTTGTTTTAAGAAGTATTGCACAGCTGATTCCAGAAGATGAACATAAAAAATTAAAAAGCGTGGAGCGGGGACAAGAATAATCACCAGGACAGAGCTAAATCCATTTTGGTATGATAACAGGGAGCCTGTTGTTTAAGAACACACATCTGAAGTATTCGTAACCTCACACATGTCCGCCCACTGGAGGACCATCTACTTTGATTTACTCCTGCTAGCAAAGCACTGGAAAGGAAGCAGGAAAAAAGAAAAAAATCAAGCATGAAAATACTGCAAGTAATCTGAGTCAAAGAGAATGATGGAACGAGTAACAAAAGAGAAAGCAAATTGTCCCAGACCTCAAGTTAAAGCAGCAGGCCTAGTGTGACAAGATAGATGCTCTTAAATGATTACAGGGCAGCACTGTGACTTAAGCATCTATTACATAGGGGAACAATCACTAAGTTTTGCTAAATCATCTATTTCAGAGCAGCCAGTTATCCAGAGATAAAGCAACAAGTTGTCCCCAAAACTCTTCATCACATCATCACTCTAAAAATATCACCAGACTCAACTCAAACACAAAGCTTGCTTAATCTCTTCCAACTGCAGCATTAAGATGAAAATACCTTTAGCTCCTAAACAATACAAACCAGCGGTCCAAAGGACCTGCTTTTGACTTCAGAATTACTAAAGTTATCTAAATAGCCGAGGCCATTTAGGCTGGAAACTTCCGTTAATCCTTGTTGGAGAGGTGAGAAAGGCAAAGGCTACAAACTCCCAAGCACTAGAGTTATCCAAAGCCTGTTTTAGGGCAACCTCTGATTCTACTAGATACTACCAAAACAGTTTTGTTCCTGTCCCTTACAGGGATGATATTTTCAGGATCACCTACTGGTAATTAACACACCTGAGCCAAAACCAAAACCAACGTGCTGCACTGCTGCTTCACCTGCCCCCCACTCCTTATTGCTCCTCAAAGCCTTGCTTTCCCCTCATGGGCTAGGTTTTTTCCTTCCCAGTCCACCAGCTTGTCTCACACCTTCCTCCTCACAGCTTCCTCCTCACTTAGCCTATGCCAGGAGAACTCCCTCGAATAGGAAAGCTTTCTGATTTCAGAATTTCTTCTGATTTTTCCATGACCACACGGGGAAGAGAAGGCCGCCCCGGGCCACCACCTGGCCAGAGGGGCACTGGAGCCAGGCAAGGCCCTGCAAAGCCCTATCCCCTCCAGCTCCGCGGCCGTGGCGGGCACGCGTGGAAACCCACCTACGGGCTCCACACCCGCGCCTCGGGGTACCGGCCGCCAGCGGCTCCCTGCCGCCTCCGGCCCGCCCAGCAGCCCCAGCAGGGCCCGGGAGGCGGCGCGGGGTCAGCCGAACGCCGCAGGCTGAAGGCTTGGAGCCCAGTTCCCCCCCACCTTTCCACACACACCCCCAGGCTCCGCTCCCCCTTTATCCCTCGCCAGGGACGGCGACAGCGGGACGGCCGCCACCGCCCGCCCGGGCCGCTCACCCCTCGCCCCGCCGGCCGCCACAGCGCACGCGCCACACCTGCCCCGTCGCGGCGGATGACGTCGGGCTCCGCGAGACGCGGGGCGGGGCGACCGTTGGGGCGGGGCCGTGGGTGCCTCAGCGGGGGGGGTCGCTCCTTCCCCGCAGCCGGCGCCATGTTGTGGGGGGGGTCTGAGTCATGGGATCGTCCAGGCTGGAAAAGACTCGTGGGGTCATCGAGTCCAACCATCTACCGTACTCCACAAAGTTCTCCCCTACACCATATCCCCCAGCACCACACCTAAACGACTCTTAAACTCATCCTAAACTCAACCACCTCTCTGGGGAGCCTATTCCAGTGTCTGACCACTCTTTTTGTGAAGAATTTTTTCCTAATGTCCAGTCTAAATCTACTCTGTTGCAGCTTGAATCCATTCCCGCTTGTTCTATGGCTAATTACCTGTGAGGAGACCACCGACAACCTCTCTACAATGTCCTTTCAAGTAGTTGTAGAGAGTGATGAGGTCACCCCTCAGCCTCCTCTTCCTCAAACTAAACAGTCCCAGCTCCTTCAATCTTCTCATCTCAATCGATTTATTCTCCAGGCCCTTCACCAGCTTTGTTGCCCTCCTCTGCACTCGCTCCAGCACCTCCATATCTCTCTTGTATTGAGGTGCCCAGAACTGGACACAATACTCCAGGTGGGGCCTCACCAGTGCTGAGTACAGGGACACAATCACCTCCCTACTTCTGCTGGTCACAGTATTTCTAATGCAAGCCAGGATGCCATTATAAGGTGGGGGTCTAGGGGAGCAGTAGGAAAACCCTAAGGCCGGTTACCAGGTCTCCAAGTACTTCCCCACTACTACCCCCAGGCTCCGCTCCCCCTTTATCCCTCGCCAGGGACGGCGACAGCGGGACGGCCGCCACCGCCCGCCCGGGCCGCTCACCCCTCGCCCCGCCGGCCGCCACAGCGCACGCGCCACACCTGCCCCGTCGCGGCGGATGACGTCGGGCTCCGCGAGACGCGGGGCGGGGCGACCGTTGGGGCGGGGCCGTGGGTGCCTCAGCGGGGGGGGTCGCTCCTTCCCCGCAGCCGGCGCCATGTTGTGGGGGGGGTCTGAGTCATGGGATCGTCCAGGCTGGAAAAGACTCGTGGGGTCATCGAGTCCAACCATCTACCGTACTCCACAAAGTTCTCCCCTACACCATATCCCCCAGCACCACACCTAAACGACTCTTAAACTCATCCTAAACTCAACCACCTCTCTGGGGAGCCTATTCCAGTGTCTGACCACTCTTTTTGTGAAGAATTTTTTCCTAATGTCCAGTCTAAATCTACTCTGTTGCAGCTTGAATCCATTCCCGCTTGTTCTATGGCTAATTACCTGTGAGGAGACCACCGACAACCTCTCTACAATGTCCTTTCAAGTAGTTGTAGAGAGTGATGAGGTCACCCCTCAGCCTCCTCTTCCTCAAACTAAACAGTCCCAGCTCCTTCAATCTTCTCATTTCAATCGATTTATTCTCCAGGCCCTTCACCAGCTTTGTTGCCCTCCTCTGCACTCGCTCCAGCACCTCCATATCTCTCTTGTATTGAGGTGCCCAGAACTGGACACAATACTCCAGGTGGGGCCTCACCAGTGCTGAGTACAGGGACACAATCACCTCCCTACTTCTGCTGGTCACAGTATTTCTAATGCAAGCCAGGATGCCATTATAAGGTGGGGGTCTAGGGGAGCAGTAGGAAAGCCCTAAGGCCGGTTACCAGGTCTCCAAGTACTTCCCCACTACTACCTTTAACAGGCCATCAAGTCCTCCCAGTCTTGCTTCACATGAGCCCTCCAGGTGCTCAATTGATGCTAATTTTTAATCAGTGCCAGGAGGTGCTAAATCAGGCTCTGTGCAGACACCTGAGTAAATGACAATTAGGTGATTACATTTATAAGGCAAACGTGTAACACTATCAGCAAATGAAAGTGGGCTTGGCTGGCTGGATCTGTTTTCTAGAAGAGTATGTATTAACTAGTATTAAATACAGTGTTATTTTTTAGTCCTTTCTTGCTTTACTTTTTTATTGCCTTTTCTATGCTTCCCCTGAGTGGACCAGCCTTGTGGTCTAGGCACCCTGCTCACCTTTCTTACTCTTTTTGAACGTTGGTGTTATCTTCTGCAACTTACTTCAAATTCCAAGCTTTAATAGAAGTAATGTTCTTGAGATTTCTTTTGCCAGTTCTTCAAGGATTGTTATGCCGAAGTTGACTAGATACCTAATTTTAAAATGTTTATTTTGGTAGATGCAGCTTATCATCTTTGTTACTCACTAATGGACTGAAAAGTGTTGCTTTTTTTTTTTTTTTTACTATAACGTGCCTCTCTCTTAGTCTTTCTAAGGTGGGAATAGAATTTTACCATTTATATCACTTCTGTGCTATTTTATCATCTCTATCTAGTCATACCCCTCAGCATTGTTGCACTCCCCACTTTACTGTCTGTAGTTGCATCACTTATGCCTTTTCTGTAGTCTTCACTTTTTTGCATATTTCAGAACGTTTTTTCCCTACATTTTTTGCCTTTACACTTAAGTCTACATTATGCTTTTAACTTCTGAGTATTTCCTTCATCCTGCTGCTGAGCCAAAATTGTCCTTCAGCCAAAATTGGCCGTTTTGTTAATTATGCAATCATGACTTCTAGACTATGGAGTAAGATCATAAGAATTCTCATTTACATTTCTATCTCTATTTTTGAACCATATTTTTCTCATCATTTCATCTTGATGGAGATAGTCTTTCTGAAGTGTCTCTGTGTGTGTAGGAGAGTGTTTCCCTGGCTGGGACTGTCCCTTTTTGCTTATTATAATCAAATTGTGATTGCTGGCTCCTAAGCAACCACCCTTTTTTTTTGGTCCTATGATTAAATTGTTTCAACATTATGAGTTCTAAAGTACTTCTTCTGTGTAGACTGGAATAACTTCTGTCGCATAAAATAAGTTTTAGAAACCCTAATGAGACATGGCTGCTGGCTATTTGGGGCTTTTTCCTCATAGCTCCAAAGTGAGCACACTTTTTGCACATTAGAGGAATAAGCATTCAGATTCTCTGTAGCCATCTCCACTTCCATTTCACTCCTCCTCAACAGGGTTAATTGGGACAAGTTACTGCCTCTGCATCTTTAAAATAATGATGGTGGTTTATTATGTACTGTTAACTTCTCAGTTCTTCACTTTTCTTTATTAGTTTAAAAGGATTGTGGCAAAATATTTTAATATTCTGTTTTGGTAAATCATCCTGCCTGTTTCAGTAATTATGTAGTTTGGTCTTGTTTCTTTTCATCAATGAAAATACGCAACACTTCTTGTATATTGCCCAACTCAGAGAAGTGGCATGTAGACCATTGGAAAACATCTTCTGGTTTCCCTCAAACTATTGATTTCCCTAAAAATGGACCCTGGAGTGTGGTTCTGGTTCCATTTCTGTGTTTCAGCAACATTATCAGCCCCGTGTGTGATTGTCAAAAGTTACTCTGCTGAGTTTCAGAGCAGAGACATTTAGTGGATTAGGCTGATATGCGAACTGTGGCTGTTCCTGGCCAGGGCAGTAGGCAAACTGACTTCTTTTATTCAACATCACAGCTCCGGATCGCTAAGAAGGAGTTGCAGCACCAAGATTTTTCTCTTCAGAGACCCACTGTTGTTGCCAAGCCTTGCAAGAACACAAATGTATATCTCTGTGAGTGCAAGGAGCTCCAGCTTTTTTGGTGTGATGGAAGCACATGTATACAAATAGGTATGTATTAGTTCATTTCTTCTGCCCTTCTTCCTCTAAAATCAATTGTTTCTCCTGTCAGCCATGCAGTAACATCCAAACACGTGCACCTCTTTTGAGAGACTGTGTTTCCTTGGGTTCTGCTGGGCAGTTTAAGCTCGCTGGGTGATGGTTTTCACTGTGGAGGACTTTGTCCAAGTCACTCTCCCAGAGATGATGTGTGTTGTGAGAACAAGTTTGGCAGGTCTGGCTGCCTAAAGTCCTGCACCGTGCATACCCGGGAATAATTGCCACCAGCGCTATACAGGTGGCTGCACTCCTGTTTTATTGCTAGTGCTTAACATTCAGGACAATGGCTGAATTGCTGTCCAAGCTCTTCATTACTGCACCTCTAGTTACAGAAGGTATTTCTTTACTGATACTTTTAGTTATCACTGTGGAGGAGGTGACAGGAGAGGAAGACATTTATGTCCCACTCCTTCACCCCTTTGAACCTCATCCACTTTCAGGGTAGTGCAGAATGATGGGGTGGCTATGGAGATCAAGTGCACAAGAGCCAGGCCTCCAGGTCCTGGAGCTGGTGGCATACAGGTGGCTGTGCAAAGCCACCTCTCTAAACAGAGAGAGGTTTTCACAGTCAAAATTAGACTTGACACGTTAGGGGATGATAATAACAAGGAATGGAAGGAAGCGGAAGCAGCAGAGGCTGACAACTGGAATGGGCTTGTGATGAGCTGAATTCTGTGGACATGTTGTTAGATCCTTTTGAGCTTTTTGTTGTAAATAAGGCAAAGTATTTGAACTTGAATTACTTAGCAGAAAATCAGTAGTGGTTGGGTGAGTGAAAAAGGTAAAACCCAAGAAAGGAGTTAGAGGAGAGTGAGTTGATGTGGGGCTCAGAGACAACATGGGCATTCTCTGCATGGGAAGGAAAGAAATCAAGGGAGTGAAGGCACATGCATGGAGCACATGCAGAGCAGCCAAAAAAATAAAAGGGGGGGAGGAAGAGACCTCATGACAAAGTACAGGGAAGACCTTTTTACAAAGAGTTAGCAGTAATTTGACAAAAAGCAACACTTCAACAGCAGTGAGTTTGTCCTGAGAAGGCAAAGGTATATTC